AAACACAGCTTTCAGATTCATCCAGGAGCAATGGAGCTGCTTAACATTCATGATCAGCCTGGAATAACCATGGAAAATTGCAACCCTCGAAGACAGAGTTCAATGTTTAATATAAGTTGTGAAATGCACCAGTACAAAGGACACAGAACACCATATAGAGAGTGTCACATTCTCTTTCTCTTCTGCTGTGGGAAAGTTTCCTTGACTATCTAGGTTGCGGGGCAAAGGTTAGAGAAGTTACGTAGAAGTCGATTTTTATCAATCGTGAAGAATTAACTCCCCATTTGTTCACTAAGCTGTAGTCACACTGGGCTTCCTAATGTCTCAATAAGTTCTACCCACTTCAGGGCCTTTGTACCTGCTCCTCTCTGCATCTGAGTCCTCTGCCAGTCTCCACCCAGCAGGCTCCTTGTCAGTCGAGTTCTGCTCCAGTGTTGCTTTCTCAGGAACGGTTTCTTAGTTCCTGCTAGCTAAAATAATCTTCCTCCATATAAACCTTTTCTCCCATGGGACTGTTATTTTCTCCACAGCACATGAAATTCTCACGTGTTTATCAATTCACTGTGTGCCTCCCTCGCCAGAAAGCAAGCTCCATGAGGACAGGGACTCCACCTGCTTTGTACACCAATACATCCCTATACCTACAACACTGCCAGACAGACAGTGTGTGCTTTAAAGATATTTATTGAGTGAGTGACTCCACGGTGCAAGTCATAATCAGCTTCCACATGCAACACCCCAAAGGTCAGTCTCCGCATGTTGAGATCACACCTTGTACAGGAGTCCATGGGTACAGACTCTCCGGAGGACAGTCTGTTATCACCTCCTGGCTGAAAGGGCAAATGGCTCACATTGGAAGCCCAATTGGCCACCAAGGACTTCCCAGGATTTTGCACTAATCTTCCCTCACCCTGAGCTCAGGTCAGATGGCACAGCGCACTCAAGGGCCTCTCCTGTAGGTTTATAAATAAACCTGGGCTCATTGTTGATCTTAGACTGGCCCACATAGCATCTTGCCCTCCATGTGCTCAGTTAGTGGGACTGCTCCCAGTAAGACTGGTAAACAGTCACGCAGAGAACAACCCAGAACAACAACCTGGGTCTAAGTGGTCACACAAACACTACATATTTAAGATCCTCTCTCGAATCCTGCCCCCAGTCTTTACAGAAGCAGTTCATCCCGATTATGTGTCAGAGTTAGGAATTGTTCATTCTTACTGAAATGACTATCTGGCTTAATTTTCTTGTAAGTCATTTCCTTCAAGTGGACACTCAAATGTTAGACCATTTACAACCTCTAATGAGTCACTAAGTGTTTCATAAACTGTAGAGTACTGCTTACTCAAGAGGTATTATTATTAAGCCTGAGCAACTGGCATATTTACCAGTATTTCAATTCTGAGTTCTTTGGAAACATATTGCTCAAAATAGTATTTGAGATTTTTCAATTATTAAAAAATTTATATTAAAATTGTTTTTATAGATAGAGCTTTAATTTCTTTGTACGTTGAACACAGAACAGTTGATACGAGATTCCCGTTTATGAGACCTGACTTCATGTTTGATAAAACAAAACAGTGGAGCTCAATGACTGGAGAATACATATGCCATTTTAGTACAGACCGAAGCCTTAGAAAAGAGGAAAGAGTTATCTGTAAAGTGGGTAGCCAACACAAGGTTGGCTAAGGTTGCAAAGTTGCATGACACATTTAGGATGGATGCAATAGTTTGCATTTCACTCATTGAATCCTTGAGTTCAGGACTGGGATGCTTCATTATAGTTCAAACCTCTTGCTTTGGAGCAAACCTCAAACCTTCCAAACCTCTCAAACGAGGAAGCAGTGAGGTAACTAACTTCTGTGGCTTGATATGGGGCAGAATAACTGAATGGTTAACAACAGAGTTGTGGATGCAGATGGTTTTGAGTTGGGGGTCTTGGTTCTGTGACCTTCTAGCTGCATCACCACAGTGAGGATGTCCTATGTGAACTTGGGTGTTTTACTTAATTCCTCTGAACCTGCATTTCCTCATTTATGAAATGGAAATAGCTCATGAACTTGCTAGTACAGATTAAATTTCGTATTGTAAGCAAAGCACTTAGCACAGTACACTTCAATCCTAGATATTGGCATTTGTAAATATCAAGCAATTTGTCCAAGGGTCACATAGCTGTTCGGTAGCCAGAGCAACAAGATGGCAGGAACACTTACCAGTCCAGTGAGATTCCCAGGGCTTCTCAAACCATAGCGTGCATGTGGAACTCTGGGGATCTTGTTATAATGCAGTTTCTGAATTCAGTAGGTCTGGGGGGTACTAGGAATCTGGATATCTAACAAGTTCCCAGAAGTTTCCACAGCTGGCAGTCCTTGGATCATCTCTCACTATACCTTTCATGACACCCTGAGCATGTCCTTCCTGATACTTCCCCCAGTTGTGATCGTACCATTTGGTTATTCATCCATTCCCCCTGCCAGAATACGAACTCCATAAGAACAAAAACTGTGTTTTTTGGTCTGACTGACCACAGGTTTAGACCAAGGCTGAAAGAACAGAAGAAATTACTGGCCGCACAAACAAAAATATACAAATCTGCGATTTTGGAATTAATAAGATTCTTTAAAGAAATGTTGATGTTTTTATATAAAGTATTATTTTCACTTAGAGGAAATTACTTATTTACAACTTACTCCATTCTTCTGTATTGTAACATTTTGTATTAAAGCTTGCTTTAAAAATGTTTCTCTACACTTCCTGTCTCCTTAAAGTTGTGATTCTTCACCATTAAAAAAAAAAAAACCCAAAAAACAACAAAAAAACTGTGTTTTGTTTATAACTTTGACCTGGCTGCTCAGCACCATGTCTGGCAAAAAAAGGAACCCAATAAATGAACATCTTCAAAGAGTGAGGGGAAAATGACCTATTTCCAACTATAAAGCCACAATACTTGCATATTAAGATTCTGATTATTTGAAAAAAAGAGGGGAACAAAATGTTTATCAGGTATATTTTTTTGTCTCAAGTCACATTATGATACCTAGTTGTAATTGCCAGCTCCCAAATAACATAACCAAAAGAAGCCCTGCAGGGTCAATCAGTTTCGACCTACACCTCTCGCAGAACTGTGCCTAGGTTCCAGTGGAACCCAATCACATCCTCCGGCCAATGGGATGAGTTAGTGGGAGGTCATTCTGAGTGTAAGGGTTGGTGCAGAATAGGCAGGGTGACCAAGGTTCATGAACACTAAGTTTGAAAGAGGCCACATCATTTCTGTTCCCACTTGAGAATAACAACGACAGCAATCTACCACAGATGAAGGGTTTTCCATATGCCAGGCACCACGCTAAGCACTTTGCACCAGTCATTTCATTCTCTCTACTAACCTGTGAGATAAGCGCTCATTTTTTAGGTAAAGAAACTGAGACATAGGGTTATCAAATTATAGGAAGTGAAGCCAGGACTTGGCAGTCTTGTTTTAGAGTCAATGCTTCTAACCACATTGCCTACTGCCTAGAAACTCCCAGGGAAAAGAAACAGTTGCCTGAAGATGGCAGTGACTCTACTCATCTGTCATTAACCTGATAATAGACTCTGACAAATCCCAAATATCGGAGGTCGGGGAGAAACACGTCATATTAACAGGAGGTGGTCGTTATACCTAAAAAGAAGAGTCTGAAAATATAGTGTAGAAAAAGAATAGGATTTTCTGTTACAGTTTTCAATTAATGCTCAGTCTGACTCTATTTGGTTTATGGTTAAATATAAAACACCACTAAAAGGTTAAGTAAGAGTCAGCTAAGGGATAGGTTTCAAAGGTCCAGATTCCTTTCACACTTCATTAGGTCTCTTATGAAACCTTGCATTAATGATTGCGCCAAATCTAAAAAGAAAGTCATCACATGAAACAAATCAGAATTTGGTTAAGATGTGTGTCCAGTGTAAAATCTCAAAAGGTTTAAAGGACAGTGAGATCTTGTTTTTCAAAAGCTTAAGAAGCAGAAGTTCAACAGTTATATTTTAACACTGACTGCCAGGCAATGAGGGAATTAAGAAAACAGGGGAAGAGAACACATTGTCAAGTGGGACATGAGAAAAGAGTAAACTTGATCTTTTTCTTGACAAAAGATTTTTAAATGTGGAATAAGAAAAATAAACAGCAGCAATACTAGATACAGCAAAAGGGACTTACAGCAGTATTGTACAAAAAAAAAATAGTTGAGTTCTATAGATTGGTTTTTAAACTACACTTGTCTTATTAAGGTATTATTATGTACCTTTGGAGGCAACATGATATGATGGACCTGGTTCTGCCACTTCCTAGTTATGGCCTCAAGCTGGTATAATTCCTCCAAGATTCAGTTTATTCAGCTGTAAAATTCAGACAACTAACACCTTCCTCCTAGGGTTATTATAAACCTTACATTAAATAACATAGAGTGAGAATTTAGTCCCAAAGAGGAAATCAACACAGGTTATACCCTGTTTTCTCTCCTTTCCTATAAGGTCTGTTTTCCTAAAAGGATGTCTTTTAAGTATTTCCTTCCAAACTCCAAGTCTTTGTTGGTAGAAATATTCTCACTTATTTAATTGCCCCAGGGTTAAGAAAAACAATCTACCTGCAAACAGATGAAATATTTGTATAAAAAAATGGGTATAAACTACTGGTATATTGTATGTAAAGATTATGCTCCTGGGATATTAAACTTGGTATGTTAAAAATAGAATGATATAAAATTTCACATAGGTACACATCCTTAAAAAATCAACTTCACACATAATTTCACCTATAAATTTTAGTCAATACACCAAATAACAACTATGTTAAAAATCTAGAAGCTTTGATGACTCTGTAGGATAGATTTTTTGGGAAAAATATTTCCACCTCAACTTAAATGAATGTTTTATAAACCATAAAATATGAAAACAATACACATGTTGTTTTTAACATAATGTCCTATTGCCTTCCAGAATACATTGGTGATATCATCAAATGAAATCACTTAACATATTAAAATACAAATTTTTATTCACTGGAATTCAATTTGAAATTTACATGTAAAGTAAAGGAAGTCAGCTTTCTAAGAAGTTATAACAACATACATAATAGACATTAAGTCAACAAAGATGACAAACAAAATTTTTAGAAGTCTTCCCACAATTTCATCTTCCAGACTTTTGGGAGTAGTAGTGGAAATTAATATCCAGTTTTTACCAGTCATGTCCAGAATAGTCCTGCTCCCTAGGAAACAAAAAGAGAAAATTATCCTCAAATGAGCACATTTATAATCCCAATTCTTTCAACTGAACCTAATATTTGCACTATAAAAAATAGTGATGAAGATTAGTCTTCCAGGGAATACTCTGTACCTATTTATAATCAACCAATGAACTAAAATATTTTTATTCCCAATGAATTAAATTATTTTTCTCTCATTCATTTTGACCAGTTTCTGTCATAATCACAGGTTTTTCTATATGCCAAACTTTGCCTTTCTTTCTAAAAGAAACAGCTCAAGAGACTTTCACAATGACCATTCTCTTTTCATGTTATAATATGTAATGTAACATAATATTACATAAATAAGTTTATTTATGAAGTTTCTTCAGTCATTTACATCGGTGTAAATGGCATCAGTGAAGTTGCCATTCCTCTAATGTGTACAGTTGGTGTTAACAGAAAGTGATAATTTGAAGATATGAAAAAAGGCAGGTAATGGTAAATTTTTTAAAAAATAGACAACAAAGCGTCTTTTTCTTTTTTCAAGATTCTCTCATGATTTAGTCACTTAATCAGACATCAAACGTTTCATTTCCTCCACATTTCTGTGTTGATGAAACAGCTTTTTAAAAAAAATAGCTGGAATTTCGGAGGGTATTAATTTGCAGTCTGTTTTCCACACTGTCAGAACATCTTACCAAATATCTGTCAGGTAAGGAGTTTAGAATTATTCTCAATCCCTTCTACAACGAGTGCAAAGGCAAATAAGTAATTTTCAAAGCCTTACACCAAAGTTCCTTATATACACTCAAGTTAAAATGAACATCAATACCTAAAAAAAAAAAAAAAAAAAGTGGCAAGATTTGGATAGCAAAATGTTTCATCTGCTATTTTCACTCAAAAATCCAAAAGGCAGGTTGAGTTTTACAAGAGCAGGAGAAAGAGAGAAGGAAAGAGAGATGAGTATTACATCAGTGTTGTCTTCTCCCACTTTGAGCAATCTTGATTAATTTCTGTAATAGCTTGCTCCATTCCTAGAGGAGGGAATGACTTGCCCCAAATTACACATCAATCGTCGGCAAAATAAACACCTAGAAATTTCCTTACATTCAACAATTCCTTTTGTCTGTGTTTCAGCAACAAGGGGCAAGAATATATGTGTTTGCAAAGTGATTTTCCTTCCCTCCTGTAGCCTCAGCCTCCAGCTTGTGTTTCTCCAGTCTGTGCTCCCTGGGGTACCTTCAACTCTCTCCAAAAACAGTGAGAAAGAGACTGAAATAAGAAGTGAGGGGGAGACTAGACAATTGGTGTGGATTGAGGAGTGAATAGAGACCCATTTCTCACCTGAATCCCAGGAAGTGGTAGGTAACACTGCTCCTCAGTTTTCTCTCAGTCTGCTCTTGCAAGAACAAAGTGCATTCAGCACAGGTGGTCTCTTAGCAACCTTGGTTCCTGTGACAAAGCACATTAAAAGGTTTTATTGGATGGAGAGGTAGTGTAGGAAGTGGAGGGGCAGGGAGCTTACATGGAAAAACTCTAAAATTGTTTTCAAAAGAAGACAGGAAGGAAATGTCGAAGAGTGAACTTTGGAAACTATGACACTTTAATTTCTATTTATCACAGAATTGTATAGCTAAAAACTGAACAGTTAACAGAAAGATTAAGTTGACTTCTAGGATTTTCCTGGCAGGGCAAACATTCATCACACTTTTTAAAGAAATGATTTTCTATTTTAAACAAATGCTTCCATATCTTCATGGCAAAACAACCACCACCACCAAAAATATACAAAAAAACTTCCATATATAAGAGAATATAACTCATGAGATCATATATCCATGTTTTAATGAAGTCATCCCTCCATATCCATGGAAAATTGGGTCCAAGACCCCCCTCAGATACCAAAATCCATAGATGCTCAAGTCTCTGGTATAAAATGGCAGAGTATTTGCATATAAGCTACCCACATCCTCCCATATACTTTAAATTCTTTCCAGATTACTTACAGTAACTGATATAATGTAAATGCTATATAAATAGTTGTTATGCTGTATTGTTTAGGGAATAATGACAAGCAAAATAAGTGTACATGTTCAATACAAACAATTTTTTTCCAAGTGTTTTCGATCCACAGTTGGTTGAGTCCATGAATGTAGAACCCATGGATACAGAGGATCAACTGTACTATAAGTTTTAAGATTTTGTATTACTTTTACAAATGAATTAGAAAATGAAGGAGTGAATTTATTACAAAAATCAGGCTATAAAATATGACTTCTGTATCCTTTAACCATGTATAGTCATGTATTACACAATGACATTTTGGTCAATGAGGGACTGATGCTGGTCCCATAAAATTGTAACAGAGCTGAAAAATTCCTATCTTCTATGGTCCCCAACCTATGGTGAGTTGTATTATTATTTCATTGTACATTACAATGTAATAATAATAGAAATAAAGTATACAATAAATGTATTGTGCTTGAATCATCCTGAAACCACCCCCCCACTCCCTGGTCCATGGAAAAATTGTCTTCCATGAAAATGGTCCCTGGTGCCAAAAAAGTTGGGTACTACTGTTCTAGTGACCTTGTAGTTGTCACAATGTCATAGCACAATGCATTACTCACATGTTTGTGGGGATGCTGGTGTAAACAAACCTACTGCTCTGCCAGTCATATAAAAGTACAGCACATACAATTATGTAAAGTTCCTAATACTTGATAATGATAATAAATGACTATGCTGTTTTATGCATTTACTATGTTATATTTTCTATCATTATTTTAGAGTTGCACTCCTTCTACTTATTAAAAAAAAGGTAACTGTAAAACAGCCTCAGGCAGGTCTTTCAGGAGGTATTCTAGAAGAAGGCATGGTTATCATGGGACATGACAGCTCCATGCATGTTACTGACCCCGAAGACCTTCCTGTGGGGCAAGCTGTGGAGGTAGAAGACAGTGATTTTGATGATCCTGACTGTGCAGGCCTAGGCTAGGGTGTGTTTGTGTCTTAGTTTTAAAAGGAAAAAAAGATTTTTAAACAGAAAAAAGCTTATAGAATAAGGATATAAAGAAAAAAAATATTTTTGTACAGCTCCGCAATGTGTTTGTGTTTTAAGCTAAGTGTTATTACAAAAGAGTAAAAAAATTAAAAACTTAAAAAATGTGTAAAGTAAAAAAAATTACAGTAAGTTAATTTATTATCAAAGAAATTTTTTAATAAATTTAGTATAGCCTAAGTGTACACTGTTCATAAAGTCTACAGTAGTGTACAGTAATATCCTGTCTTCACATTCACTCACTACTCACTCTCTGATTCACCCAGAGCAACTTCCAGTCCTACAAGCTCCATTCATGATAAGTGCCTTACACATGTATTATATACCAACTTTTTATCTTTTATACTGTATTTTTACTGTACCTTCTCTATGTCTAGACAGATACACAAATATTTACCATTGTGCTACAATAGCCTACAGTATCCAGTACAGTACCATGCTATACAGGTTTATAGCCTAGGAGCAATGGGCTATGCCATGTAGCCTAGGTGTGTAGTAGTAGGCTATACCATCTAGGTTTGTCTGAGTACACTGTTATGTTCATACAACGATGAACTCACCTAATGCTGCATTTCTTAAAATATATCCCTGTTGTTAAGCTACACATGACTGTAATATACCTTCGGGTAATCCATGCTAATAATATACTTTGAATATAAAGACATTATACTCAAAGGTGTTCATTGCAGTCTATTTGCTCGACCCCCTCAAGACATCCTTTTTGTCTTGTAAGCTTTTCTTAATGAATTATATCATACATATATAATAGAAAAGTAGAAAAATAGTAAGTAATAAGTCATAAGTGAATAAATCATAAGCTTAATGAGTTTTTTACAAAGTAAACACATGCATATAACCACAATCGGATCCACAGTGTCATTTTTATTACAGAAAAAAAAATTAGAAGTAATGATAAAAGACTAAACACACTATAATTCAGCTACATATGGTATGTTATTTATCCATTAAAATGATAGTTATTACAACTATGAGATCATGGAAAAACTACTTAGAAAATGATGTTAAAATATTTAGATATGAATACAACACATACTTATGACCATCCATTGCACTCCTGGGTATATATCTCCTAAAGAAATGCATGACTATCTGCCTACCAGGACACATATCCAAACATTATTTTTAATATCTTCAACTTGGAAACAACCCAAATACCCATTAGTACATAGATAAATTGTGGCAGAGTCATGTAATAGAATATTATAGAATAATAAAAATCAAACCACAGCTATGTACAAAAATAGGGGTGAATCTTACAAACATAATATTGAATTTTAAGAAGCAAGGCACAAAAGAAAACACACAGCATAAGTACATTTATATAAAGTAGAAAAACAGTTAAAGTGCATGGTATAGGGGTGCATAGATGGTTGCCAATGGTGTAGGTGGTAAATTTTATTAGGAAAACAAAGGGATTGACTTTCGTGAGGGTAGGGAAGAAATAGGCCGGAGCTTCCAGCAATGTTCCATTTCTTGTCCTGGGTGGTGGCTACATTGAAAATCGCTTTTGAACTATTTGCTTAACTGTACATAGAAGTTTTATGTGCTTTTCTGTATGTACATTAGACTTCATAATTGAAATATTTAAAACAAGACAAGAGAAATACATACAAATGTCAATAGTGTCATAGTGGCTAAGTTTGGGTCAAAGTAGTTTGGGTGATTTTTTCCCTGTTGTTTCCATTTCTCACA